GGCAGATTCTGTTCAAACCAGCCGTGTGGTAATAAATTTTTTTTCCCCATAAATTTGACATATTCAACGTGTCCGACGCGTCGAATGCCCCAATATTTTTGTCCGACACATTTTTTTTCGTTGTTTATGTGATAAAAACTATTGATTAAAAAAAAAATTACCAATGTGGTCATACATTTTTTTCTTGCATAAAATCGACAACTTCGTGACAGCTTGACGGACAAACGCCCCACTACCATAATGCGCTAAGCTCAAAATTTGTCCGACTCCACCCAAATAACAAATACAAAAAGTTTCGACGGTGTGGTCATAAATAAAAACTTTGGATCTGGGCCCAAGGACTATAATACTTTGCTAATTTCAGGGCCGTAGCAACAGGGCGAGCAAGTCGTGCTGCGCACAAGGCCCGGGCCCCGAAGGGGCCCGGCGTGTCCTGCCACTTTTTGGACACAACATACAAGAAAATAAAAAAAAAAAAGTCCTATTACACCCGAAAAAGCAATATTCGCTTTGGCGATTTCAAACCGAAACAGAAAACTTTAATATCGATCTCTACAGATTTCTTTTCAGTCAGCCCTCCGACTCCTATTACTCATTACTCATGTCAATATGGATAATTGTGAATCTCAGTCGTGTATTAGCTCAAAAATGTTTATTTTATGGACCCATTTCAGTCCGTAAAATGCTTCATTCTCGGCCTAGTCCCTAAAAGTCGTTTTAACAATCAGAAAAAAATTCTACCTGGAGCTCTCGCCACAACTGCCAATGCGTAATCGTAATCAGTTTAAAATTTTTAATGTCACTTTTCTTCACATTTTATTTAACGGAATTCAATACATTTTTGGAGTTTTTTAGACTCATCAAAAAGATATACAGTGTGATTTTTTAAGTGTGCAACATATGGGGATTTTTTTTAGTAATAGCACAACCCAAATACAAACAAGGCCAAAAGTTGGTGCATGTCTGATAATCATATTAGGTGCACTTAGAATGGTTGCAAGTCAAACAGCATACAGGGTAGGTCAAACAATATCAAAGCTGGTACTGTAAAGTAACCTTATTTTAGAAAATTCAGCAAAATCAAATCAAATCATCAAAAAATACTTTATTGTCCAAGAAAATCAAATTTCTGTTGACAAAGCATGATATTATACATTTCCTAAATTACAATAAAATTATAACACAAAAATTTGTTGCTAAAGCTAAAAAACATCAAAACCAAAAGGACAAAATGTAAATCAGTAAAACTAAAAAGGTAAAAGAACAAGTACTATAAAAATACAAAATACAAAAAAAAAAAATTAAAATAAAAAAATAAGCAAATAACATATAGTGATAAAAAAAAGTCTCATATCTCACATAAAGTTGTCTGTAAAAAATTCTTCCAGGGTATAATATGCCTTAGTCAGTAGAATGCCCTTAAGTAACCGTCTAAAGCACTTTACACTATTGGCAGTCTTAACGTGAATTGGCAGATGGTTGAAAATTTTTCTGCCATTATAAATAAGTGACCTTCTGGTCAGTTCTTTTGTTGGAATCGGCAGAGGCAGATCAGCTGAATGCCGAGTGCTATAAGGCGTAGTTACACCCTGAAACTGGATGCTCAGTCTGTTCTTATAAATCAGTGAGGCCGTCTCAAGGATAAACAAAGAGTACAATGTCAGGATATTCTGCGACCGGAAATGGGGTCTACAAGAGTCCCTTCGGCCAATGTTTGTTATAAAGCGTACTGCTTTCTTCTGCAGAATAAACAATATGTTTAGAAGATATTGACTACTTGCACCCCAGAAGGGAATCCCATACCTCAGATGAGACTCAAACAGTGCAAAGTAGACCATTCGAGCCACAGCCGAACCAAGCTCCCTGTGTGCAATTCTAATCGCAAAGCATCCCGATGACAGTTTCCTGCTAAGCCCAATTATATGGTCCTCAAAACGTAACCCACCATCGACAAATAAACCCAAAAATTTTGTACAGGGCTGGTCCTCGAGACGATTTCCTCCCAGATTCAAACCCGTCATGTCACATCCAAACCCAACAACATTAGTTTTATTGACATTAAAACAGAGGCGGTTAGAATCACACCACTGTTTGATTATGATAAGGTCAGATGCGATGTCCTGTTTAAGTTGTTCCACATTTTTATTGCGCCATACAATTGATGTATCGTCGGCAAAAATGGTGAATTGGCCCGATATCCGCACCCCGACAAGATCATTTATATATATTAAAAACAGCAGTGGTCCCAAGACAGACCCCTGGGGAACACCGCACCCAACAACTCTCGCCGACGATCTTACCCCCGATGCGATCACAGATTGGCTCCGACAATTTAGATAAGAATGAAACCATGCGAGTGAAGATCCCCTAAAGCCGTAACGCTCAAGCTTTGACAGAAGAATTCCATGATCCACACAGTCGAAGGCCTTGGAGAGATCACAGAAAACCGCTGCCGCAGCATCTCCTTTATTAATGTGGTGGTAAACAGTTTCCAAAAAATTGAACATGGCATCATGAGTACCTTTGGAGCTTCGAAATCCAAATTGCTTTAGAGTAATTATATTATTCGCCTGGAGGTAGTGCCAAACCCTTTTTTTTACAATTTTTTCAAAAACTTTTGAAACAGTAGACAGCAAACTAATTGGTCGATAGTTAGATGGCTCTTGATGATCGCCACCCTTATGCAAGGGAATCACTATTGCTGATTTTAGAAATGAAGGAAACACGCCCCTTGTCCATGAATCATTTATTGCATCAGCAAAACCCTCCAGAGCACATTCAGGTAACTTAAAAAGTACCTCAACAGAAATTCCGTCGTTACCCGCGGATTTCCTCTTTTTGATGTCACAAAGAGCCTCTTTAACCTCATTGATATCCGTTGGAAAAAAATAAAACGAATCTGGAAAAGATAGGTCATCAAGGTAAGAAATTGGATCATTACTCATTGGTATATTTTGTGTCAAGATGCCCGCCATGGCACAATAAAATGTATTCAAGGTCTCTGCATCGACAGCAATTTCATCAGAACCATGCCTCTGTCGATTGCACAAGTCATTGATTATAGACCAGCCCTCTCTTTGACTATTTTTGGCTCTTGAAAGTCTCCTGGTATAATATTCCTTTTTAGCAGTTGCAATCAGTTTACGATATATTTTACGATATTTACTGCAATATAAGCTAAAAAACTGATTGTTTCCAAAAAATTTTTTTATATAATTGAGAGAGCGAAGGTTGGCTGCTGACACCTTTATACCCCTTGTAAGCCATGGTTTTTGCCTTTTAGTCTTAAATTTAATTAACTTAAGAGGAAACGCTCTATTGAATAGGTCAATCACAACAGTATAAAATGACCCAAAAGGTTCCAGAGACTGACTTAGATCCCGCCACTTCACGTCAAGACAGTAGACATAAAAATTGTTAAAACTTGCTCGGTTAAAAATTCTGCCAAGACGTCGCTTATTCCCAACCTCAACACCGATACCTGCAAACGTGCAGCTCATGATCAGACAGATTGGTGCCAGAAACAGAACACTTTACATTTTCCATGTTTGAACATATATAATCAATAGTGGTAGCCGAGTTCTTACCAATTCGAGTTGGTGAGCTAACGTGCATAACTAGACCATATGAGCTAAGTAAATTTACAAGCAAAACAGTATTAATAGAATGACTCTCAGTGAAGTTAATGTTTAGGTCTCCAGTCAAGACTATTTTAGAGCGAGTCGGAATTTGAGAGAGAATAATATCAAGCCTGTTTAGAAAATCCACTACTAAAATGTTATAAAGAAAAGTTGTTTGGAATTAAAAGTTATGCCTAAATACCAAAACATAGCCTCCTAGGATTTTTTTAATTTTCTTTCGAAAAAAATCTATAATTTCTATATTTTTTTTATTTTTCAATTCCGCCCTTAATACTTTCAAAAATTAATTAAAATCAAATCAATTTTACATACCTTTGTTCAAATTCAAGCATATTTGTAAAATTAACTTAGGTTTTTAATTTTTTATGGAATCACAAAATTCATGTTTGTTGCAATGATATTCAACACAACTTTAAAAAGTCGCAATTTTTTTTTTAACAAGTTACAACATTACTAATGATAATAGCCATATTAAAAAAACTCACCTTAAAGTGCAAAAGTTTTATTTTATTTAAGTGAATATTAGTATAGTTTTGATATTTTTTGAGCCACCCTGTATGCTGTTTGACTTGCAACTATTCTAAGTGCACCTAATATGATTATCAGACATGCACCAACTTTTGGCCTTGTTTGTATTTTGATTGTGCTATTACTAAAAAAAAATCCCATATGTTGCACACTTAAGTAATGACACTGTATATTACGTGAGAATTGCGGAAAGTACTGTTTTCTCGGCCTAGGCTAACCCCCCCGGTCAATGATCTTGAACCTTCTGATGCCCATGGTGAAGGGGGGCCAGCTGTGCTCTAGTCTTGCACCAGGGCCCGGTTTTGAGTTGCTACGTCCCTGGCTAATTTATATTGCAGCTATGGATGACTGAATGTGTTTATAATAGTTTTTATATGTAAGATAAACAGATGAGGAATTGTTTACTCAAGAAAGGGTTTGTAATTTTTTGTCTTTTGATGTTGAGTCAGTTCCTATAGTTAGTTCTCTATGAGTTCACACGCTCTGCTTTCTACACTAACCGAGTAGGTACTACTTGGTGTCTTTTGATAACTAGATATTCAGAAAATTGCATTTTGATTAGACATTACCAAGGCCAGTCTCGATAATTATTGTGTGACCAATGTTATTCACCAGTAGGTGAATGCTGGCGATAAAGACTAATAACATTCTTGAAATGAGTAACAGATGCAATTATTAAATTATTAATGAATGCAGTTGAGTTCTTCACAAAAACAATTAATATTGAGAACAACTTCCGTCATCAACTATTTGGTATTAACCTATATATCCGTTTTAAACAACACACATCCGCCTACAAATTGTAATAATTTATTATTTAACAAAACTTACCATTTCAACGTCCTATGTGAGCAAATTGATCTTGCACTGAGTCAACTGAAACAGGAAGAAACAAAATATCAAATATTGACTGGAAGTATATTCAAACTATTTGCTCAAATAATCATTAATCGAAAGGGAAAAAACAATTTCAGATATGAGACTAGTGATTAAAGAAAAAACGATTAAAACAAAATTACATTAAAACAGCGTCCAAGCACTCGCAAATATCGATAGCACCATACAATGGTAAATGTAGATTAACTTTCTGCCTATTGATACGGACAATCTTTTAATGGAAATTAATTATGTTGAATTGAAAACTGGCAATTTTTAATTACAAATAAAAACATGTAACTTCAGATTCTTTTTGCTCGAGACTTTGACAGTCGGTGCCATGAGTGTCATCAACATATGACATTTTTTTTTACAGTCGTACCAACTTAAGTTTTTGACAGCCAAATGAATAGTTGTATTTGTATTCCTTTCAAGTTCAAGAGTTAAAAACACTCGAGCTACTCGCTCCGGTGTTAGTCGCCCTCGACTTGAAAGGAACAGATAGATGCGTGGTGCAACAAACACTTTTCGAAAGGAATAAGCGCGTAACACTAACGCCCCGGAACTGTTCCGGAGCTCCTCCTAGGTGTGAAAAGAATGCAACTACTACGTTCCAGGATCAGTCCGTGGATTCAGTACAGAAATTTGGTTGGAATAAAAAACTGTCTCCGACGAAGTTTGTAAAAATATATTCTGCAGGTTTCTGTTTCACAGCTCCCCAAAAAATCAATAATAAATACTCCTAGCTTCGCTACTGTATACTAGGATCATATAAATGTCGTGTCTTCAAAAAAAAAATATATATATTTAAAGATTGTTATGCGTTTTTAAACGTAAATCTTGGTAATATTTTTCTTTAATTTTTTTTGCGTTCGGTATTTTGCTCAAAGAGCTTGCACCGAGTACACTTTTTAAATTAACGAACGGTAAATTCAGATCAAAATACCAAACGCACGGATAGTCAATGAACTTTAATATCAAAAATCCTGACCAATAAAGAAACAATATTGCCAAAAATGATACACACCTACAGGATTGCTCATCGGCCTCGTTTTTGGTAATCGCCGCCATATTGGTGTGTCACTGTGTCACCATTTCCGACGTCATGACAGTCGTCAGCTGTTTGAACAGCCTTAGTCAAGGCGTGAAATAACATGCTGCCTACGTCACAACTGGTGATTTGGCATGGTAGGGTGGTGGGGGGAGGGGGTAATTTCCTTATGAGGATAAGCTATCCTGTAGTAGTAGTGTGTATCATCCTTGCAATAATGGGACGTAGGTAGGTTTTCGTAATCAAAGCACTGTTTTTTTTTTTTTTTTCAAGACCCTTATTATTCACAATAGTTTGTTAAAAGTCACTTAAAAGTAAACTTTAATAGGCCGAGACCCCAAAAGAGGCGTTTTTATTAAATTTGATATTCCTGATTCAAAAAACTACTTCCCAGCAGGGCAGAGTAGTAGAGCAAAGTGAATAGAACATCACACAGACCAGAACCCTAATAACACAGTAACATCGCAGAAACATTCCAGAAACATCCATCAGGGATAATGAAGACGTCCCTGGGAGGTCCCTATTTTCCTGGGGACATCCCTGGGATGTTGCAGGCAACAGCCGTGTCATCATTTGCGATGTCCTATAAACATCTCTCAGGGATGTTTCTAAGATGACGCGGGATGTACCTAATACATCCGGGGCAGGTGTAAGAAACATCCTCTATATGTTTCTAGTATGACTTTAATAGGTGAATGAATTTTAGGATTATGGATTAAAAATTACCTAATTCAATAATTTTCAATTTTCGTTCTATTTTCTGGAAGTCAGAACTTTTTCCAAAAAAAAAACAAAAATTGAAAATTATAAAATTAAGTAGGCACATCAGTTTCCAATAACATTTTTTATTGAAAAAATAAGGTACATGTATACTTATATTGATTATCTATCAACTAATAATAATCGACGGACAATTTTGCCTAAATAATGTAGTATTTATGCCCCGTCATGTCATCGAAAACCATAGTTTGGCAGTGGCAGCATGTTGTAGTAGGGGAGTTCGGCGTTTTCTTTTTTTGTTGGTGCTCCAATTTCATAAAGGTACCATTATCTAACCAAAACAACCACAGAACCAAAATCCAAAGTTCTTGAAGTACAATTCAACTTGCACACCTAGAATGTAATCAACTATGAAAACAAAAAATAATTATTGGTTATTTTCTCTTACCTAATGAAGAATGAAGTTCGGGTTTCTAGGGGCTATTTATCAGAAAAGTTAGAAATTTCCTAACCGACGCCATATTGAAATTAAATAAACTAAACAATTGATAGTTATGCGACGTTATCTTTCAACAAATAATCTTTCTCACCAACTAATAAGCACTGGTAGGTCGCAGAGATCCTTTCGAACACAAAATGGCACAACTAGGTGTAGCGAAAAACCACAAATTGACAAATCCTCCACACAGCACGACGCCATTACGAAATAAAATTCCGCCCAACAACACAAGCGTAGCGCACAGGACGACCCGTTCGACTGATTCTGCCCGTCTGCGCTGGCTGCGGCGCCGACCCGACGTGGTGGCGTGCCCTCCTGTCCTGACCGGTACAAGTACAAATGCCTGAGCACGCGCCTGCGCCATACACTTCGGCTTCACGAATATTCACGATGTTTGAAAGTTGAAAAGAGAGAAGACTTTTATCAATACATATTTTATTTTATTCCAAGTTGTAAGTCGAATGAAAAATTAAATATTGCTGTTGTTACAATACAAAATTAATATTAAGTTCCTTATTATCTATATACATTACAGGTATATTATGGAATTTGAAATTAGTTTGTGTGTGTGATAGAGACATTTTCAGAAATCACACAAAATTGGCAAATTTAATACTGGGTCCTACCGGTCTGAGGTCCTACCTAGTTTTGTAAAATAATGTTAGCCATTTTTTAGCTGTAATAAGTATCTAATTTTGAGAACAAAAAATCTTTTTGTCGATAGATATTTACGAAAGGATGTTTCTAAAACATTTCAGGACAATCATCCTAGAGATGTTACATTACAAACATCGCAGCGATGTACCATTTATGTCGGAAACATAAGGACCTTAATGGTACATAAATAGGATGTTTCTGGGAGATCGGTGTTATTAGGGAAGCGCCAAGTTCAAATAAATACACAATAATAATTTTCATGTATGTACAGGGTATTTGATTATATTTGGCACCATACCTACAGCCTTTAGTATTTAAGATAGAAAAAAATTTTAAATACAAAACTTGACAGTTTTTTTCTATATTTTCTGATAAAGTTATCAAAAAAAACAAAATCGCATCGGAAAATGGAGAAACGTAAGCAACTTCGACTTATTTTAATGGACCACCCTGTATATTTTGCGATAAAATGAAAGATCTATTCCTTCTGATTCCAAATGTAGGTATATATATTGATAACATTTGCGTGAGCAATTGTTGACATATCTCAGGTTAAATTATAAAGAATTTGCAGAGAAGTTCCATATGGATCTCTATCTTTATAAAATTTCTTTGCAATTTAAAGTCTGTTTTTTTTTTAAAGATAATTCCCCAAGTCAAAAATTTAGTAACTATGTTGGCAACACAAGCCTTTTCTACAAAAAAAATTTGAAGCATTGACAATTTTACATTGTATTGCCAACATAATGTCAGTTTGACTTTTATCTTTAAAAAAAAAAACAGATTTTAGTTATAATTTAAGCTGAGATATGTCGAAAATGGCTCATGCAAATGTGATCAACATATATATATTTGTAATCAGGAAGAAAAGGTCTTTCATTTTATCGCAAAATATACAGGGTGATCCATTTAAAAAAGTCGAAGTTGTCTACGTTTCTCTTTTTTCCGATGCGATTTTGTTTTTTCTGATAACGTTAAAAGAAAATATAGAAAAAAACTGTCAAGTTTTGTATTTACAATTTTTTTCTATCTTAAATAGTAAAGGCTGTAGGTATGGTGCCAAATATAATCAAATACCCTGTACACTTATTGGCCAAATGGCCAATCATAAAACTGGGACGCATTTTCCTATTGTGTTGTATTGTGTAAATCGGCCTTTTTTATCACCTCAACAATGACAAAGAGCACAGCCTCAATTAAGTCAGTGTCATCTTTGAACCAAACATAGGCGGAGTTCGTTTTTGTCATCTTTTTCGTCGATTTCCTCCAAAATTTTGGCAGGCACGAGTCACGTGATTTGTGACTTAAACTGTTTTATCCAGTCACATGCCTGTCAAAATTTCGGAGCAAATCGACGAAAAAGATGACAAAAACGAACTCGGCTATAACATAAAAACATAAAAACCTGGGTGCATTATTACATTACTTTTGTTCAGCTTTGATATTGACAAGAACTGTCGGACCTAAGTTTTTCAGAAGAGATTTTTTGTTGTTAAGCCTGACTTACACTACTAGGCAAATTTTAAAAATATATATTGCCTGTACCAGTTTTTATGTTTGGCAAAGTGTATGAGGTAATTATATTTCGGCGGTTCGTTCTCAAGATTACTTTAACCAAAATTTGCTTTAACTCACTTTTTAGTACCGCTTTTCGGTGCTAGATGGTGCCACAAAATTTACCTGCCGAAGGTCTTTTTGTGCTTCACTCAAACGTTAAGCTCAGAGCTCAGCACAAAAAGATCCGTTCATAACAACATAGGTAAATAACTATCAATTCACCGAGTGAATTTTCTTGACAGTGTGACGAATTTAACCGTGAAATGAGTTGAAACAGGTCTAATCTGTGCATATCTCATATCTATCACTTGCAAATTTATAACTTTCCATATAAGCCTAGACAATTTGCAATTTTGCGCTGCCTGTAATTTACAGCATATCTTAGGTATAGATTCCTAAATATTTCCGATTGAGTGATTGGCAATCGATGCGCCACTCATACTCACGTCACTGTAAATTAGACGTTTATACAAAGAAGTAGGTACACTTGGCCAAACATAAAACTGGTACAGGCAATATATATTTTTTAAATTTGCCTAGTGTGAGTCAGGCTTAACAACAAAAAGTATCTTCTGAAAAACGGCCAGACAGTTTTTGTCAACGTCAAAGCTGAACAAAAGTAAATGCAACATGTTTTTAAGTTATGATTGGTTCAAATATGACACTGACTTGACTCTTTTTGTCATTGTTGAGGTGATAAAAAAGGTTGATTTACACAATACAACACAATAGGAAAATGTGTAGGTACCAGTTTTATGATTGGCCAAGTGTACCTGTAAAACAGGGATACAGGCACTTTCCAAATTTCACCGATAAATTGACCGGTAAAATAAACGGGTAACGGTAAAAAAATTCC